GCTTAAACCCCAACCATTTTGATAGGCAAAAGCAGTGGAGGTCTATTGTAATACTTGCAAGAGTTCTCCTCATGAGCTTGGCCAAATTTTTGGGAATCCAAGGGATTTGAGCTGGTTTTGCCAGCAGAGAATTTCTCCTGGGCTTTTAGATTAGCATCCATGGGGAGATGAGATTGAAAATGCACTCCTCATGTAGGCATGTAACAGAAAGTGCCCCAGAAGTTCCTGCTTGAAATTACTTGCAAGTGAGAGTTAAACTCCCTGAAACTGCTGGCCCTGTGCTCATCAAGGCACAACAGTAGTACTCTGTGGTCCTGCTCCTTGGTGAGTGGAGGCTCGCTCCTCCTTGCCCTCTGGCTTGGGCACATTTTGCTCCCCCACAGAGCTGGCACAGGTAGTCAGTAGGTCCCGCTCTGAGCTGTAGCTTGGAGAGGGCAGTAGGGATCTTGGCCTGAGAAACACGTCAATACTGACGTATTTGAAGAGGACTTCTTCTTTTGTATTCTAACACAGAGTTGTTTGTTTAGTGTCTTTTTAATGCAAACTTCCCACAGCAAAAAAAGAGGTGTGATTTTTAGAGGATAATTTCCCCACTTAGCTTATTAGGCACATGTTTAATATAGCAAAATACTTATGAAAGGTGATTTCCAATGGCATACATTGAAGGTAGGCTCTCCTCTTCTGAAGGTTGTCAGTGGTAGTCTACTTTGCAGCTTTGAAAGCAACCACAGTATGCTTGTTTGGGTTATCTGAATGAAATTATATTAGTTTCAAAGTGTAGAGTACATCTAAGCAATGTTTCCTTTATTCAGATGAAAACATTGATCCAGCAGGTGCTGGAGATTTGGGCTGGAAGTCATGCATTATCACTGACAAGTCACTGGCTGTGACAAAAACCTGATATTTTTGGGATAACCTCTTCTTTTTCAGAAGGCTGAATAATTCAAACACAGTTGGTGGTACAAATTATATCTAAATTCAAAGACATGTGCAAACGCATATTACCAATAAATTATATGACTTGAAATGATTTTTTGTTTCCATTCCTCCAACATTAAAAGTATTATTTCCAATATGAGCACACACACATCTGTCTTTCAATTTGAAGAGATCAGCAACACTCCTCTTCTATTATTATTATTTGAGGTTTTATGTATGAGTACTCACTGAGGGCCCATTGCTGGGGAGATAATTCTTTTACTACAGTATTAGATTGCACGAATTTTGCAGGAGGCCTGTGAGCAAGCCGCATAAAGTTTTACAGGAGTAAATTCTCGTAGAAGAGCACTCTGAAATGATTTCACCACTTGCATCTTTTTCTTTTATTAATTCTCTCTGGACCTAAAGAAGCTGGAATTACTAAAATAAGATCACATGGTAGTTTAGCATAGCAACCCCAAATCCTCTACGTACCTTTCAAGAGATGAAAAATTGGTATCAAGAAAACTACTGAACACCTTATACAGAAATCACGCTTGCTTTAATTTTATTTTATTTTATTGGTTGGTTGGTTGGTTTTGTTTTGAGCAGAATAGCTTGTTTTCTTTCACATCTGACCCTTCCATGTTTCTTCAATATTAGGGAACAATCAGGATTCACATTCCTTCTCCTTCTGCTGCTTCTTTTGTCTGAGGAAACCCATGAGCTAGCTTGCAGGCTGACCTCTCTCAGCCTTGGTCTTACAGCCACATCAGCTCTGAGGTGACATCACCACATCCTCTTTTGGCTGCAGGGTTGGCTTTTGCTGCTCCAGGCGGAGGCTCTGCTGGCAGTGAAGCTCAGTCAGTGCAACCGAGCACGATGAAAGCAGTGACAAGCAGGTGCCACTTGCACAATGCTTCCTCTGCCGATGGGTGAGATGCAGCTCTGAATGGAGCTGCCCTCCGGTCTACCTCTGCATGGTTGGAGGCCAAGATCTAAACTTCTGTCTGTCTGTGTGTCACTGCTGTGCAAACCAGCCTCCTGGGGAAAGCATCCAGCTGAACACGGGAACGTACTCCCATGTGCTCTGAATGTGTTTGCTTGTGCTCAGCCCCAGAATATCTTGCTCCCGTTTGATGCGGTTCATGACACACAGAGGGTGTTGATGTGCTGCTACATTCAACCAGGCAAATCACATCAGGAACGCAGCGTCCTGCTTTGGGAGCACGGCTGGCAGCGTTAGGCAGTGCAGTGCCCTTCTGGGCTTGGGAAACAGCTCCCACCCCTAGAGCAGTCCCTGGGGCCATGTGCAGGGGGCTCCTGTGCCCACCTCCTGGTGCCCACCACTCAGATGGTCACTGCTGTTCAGTCTGCCAGCATTGGGTCCCACAGGGAGCAGTGGCAGCTGATGTTGACCCTGCTGCTGACCTGCTGGCTTGTTCTTGAGTTTCCATGCCACTGCGTGCCCTGCAGAACAGGTTCTCAGGGGGCAAGGCCAAGGTTCAGCCAGTTGTCAGGCTGGTGGCTGACGCACCAGCCCAAACTGTGGCTGGCGGAGAGGCAGTGGTGCGTGCTGATGATGGTGAGCTCTGCCAGCACGTGTGAGTGGGCTGGCCAGGATCACGGAGCTGGGGCTTGCCTCACCAAGCCTGTCTGTCCACAGCAAGGGCCCATTTCCTCTTATGTCTGCCCACAGTTGCCGTATGATGACTGAGCTGCACTGACAGGCACAACAGCAAACAATGTCTCGGACAGTGGAGCTTAGTTTGCCAAAGGTGTGGAATGCAACTTGTGCAGCAGTGCTGATATTGCTGCCTAGCCTTGTATCACAGCCACATCTGGAGTTCTTTTCATCTCACTTTAAAGTAAGTATCTACAATAGATCAGGCAACTTACACCTTTGGAAATACTTCTTTTTCCTCCTCTGACTATAAAGAAAAGGTGATTGACTGGCTCATCCCAAGGGGTCTGCACCAAATCCATGCAGCGCTGCCATGTAAGTGGATCTTATCATCTGTGTGTGACAATCACAAGAAATGTCATGCTCTCAAAACTCTTTGTATCCAACTTTAAAATATATTTATAGAAGCACTGATGGGAATTTTCTGGGTGTCTCATTTTGAGAAGTGTGCTCTGCCTTCTCTCCATGTAGACAATGGGCTTGCAGTTACATTTCCAACAGACTTCTTCCACTTGGTGGCAAGCCGACAGCAATGACATTAGGGGACCCATTGCTAATGCTCATATATATTTTTCCTCAATTTTCGTGATATGTTAAAAGCTGTCCAAAAGGAAGTTGTAATATGTGTAACTTCAACTTTATTAGAAGAATCCAATTCTGATTTGTTCTGGTCTATGAATCTAAGCGATTTAAAGTTGTCCCTTTCCTTTTTCTCTCCTCTCCTCTCCTCTCCTCTCCTCTCCTCTCCTCTCCTCTCCTCTCCTCTCCTCTCCTCTCCTCTCCTCTCCTCTCCTCTCCTCTCCTCTCCTCTCCTCTCCTCTCCTCTCCTCTCCTCTCCTCTCCTCTCCTCTCCTCTCCTCTCCTCTCCTCTCCTCTCCTCTCCTTCCTTTCTTGTTACTGTTAGAAATAGGCTGGGTTTCAATCTCCTCACCATGTATCTTATTACATGCCATAGTATAAAGTCCCACCATCAAAAAGGAAAAGTCAAAACTTTATATGAAAAAAACAAATAAAGACTCAGAATAAATCAACAAATATGTAATAATCACAGTAGAATCTGTGAAATCATATCAAGCATAATCCAATAGAAAATGTGAATATATCAGATGACCGTATGCAGTTAATTTACTAAGCTTCAGAGGAAAGTGAAACCTTGCAAATTTATGGACTTTGTACATTTACAGTTTAATTTGGCTTTTGGGAGTAAATAATGCAGTTGCATGTATTTCAATGTGTCAGTTTAATCTTTAGCAAATTGCTTGACACATGCTGTCAAATTTTTATACTATAAAGGCTAATCATACAAACGTTGTCAAACTCTTATGAAATTCAGGTGTTTACTTTTTGCTGGAAAGAAAGGTGGCACATTATTTTCCTTCCAGTTTGAGGTTACAGGAGTCAGAAAAAAAAACTCTTTTCTTCTTCTCTTTTTTCTTTCTTTTTCTTTTTTTTTTTCTTTTTTTTTTTTTTTTTTTTTCTTTTTTCTTTCCTGTATTTAGAAATCACTAGAGAAGAATGGTCCTTTATTTAGACAATAATCTGGTTCTGTAATTCAAGTTTCTGGCAAAAGAGAGCATCATGCTGTTACATGCAACTCACTGACCAGAAACTCTGTTTCTTGAGAATCTGTTGCTAAACCTGGAGTGACTTTCTAGGTCAGAATTTTTCCTTTGAGCTGGAAAGTTATGTAAAGAAGACAATGAGGAGATGGTTTTACACTCTGTATGTGCCCTGTTAGATGTGAGAGCCGATTTTCTATGTGGTTGGTTAACAGGTGGGAGCTGGGCGTTCTGTTTGTCCAGCCTGCAGCCAGCTTGGAGGGATAGCTGTGTCATCCTACACCTCCTGGTGACACCTGCAGGAACTGCCCATAGTTACAGTAAATAATCCTGGTTTCTAATAGGCAGAAGGTCTGTAATTGGAAGCAGTGATTTCCCGAGCGCATCCACTTCTCCTTGGGTCTCCATCAGGGCAGCCCTCTTCCAGCTCTGCATCAGCGTTGGGACAACCAAGGACCCCTATCAAAAGCTGGTTGACAGGAATGTGCAATTTATATCCTCTTGAAGACCTAAGCCATCCTTCACTATCTCTGCTGACCCTCATCAAAGGCACCAATAAGGATAGTGAGGCTGCAAGATGCTTGGGAAAACAGCCTGCTCTCTCTGAGATCCTCTACGTGAGCTGAGCCACTTCACGGTGGATGGCAAAGAGAACCATTTGGAGAGGTGCTTAAGCTGCATTAGTGTTTAGACAAAAAAAAAAAAAAAAAAAAAAGAAAAAAGAAAAGGGTGGGGGAGAACGACAACATAGGGTGGGAGGGAGAGAGAGGTGAGGGAGAAAACAAGTTATTCCTTCTGGGAGAGGCTGGTACCACTAGCATGCTGGCAGGTAGGCTGTCAAAGGAATGACAGCACAAGAAACCTGCCTTCTTTTGAAAAGCTTTTACATCAGTGACTGTGGGAAACTTTTGCAATCACCTTAAGAAGGAAATCCAAGGTTTAAAAAAATGTGGTGGAGTGCTCCACTTCTTTGAGTAGGCAGTGCTTCTGCTGTGACGTTGCACTGGCATCCAGCCTGAAAGCCCTAGGGCACAGGAAAGAAACAGCTTGACACGAAGTGGCACACAGTAAGTTCTTTTGCTGCCTCTCCCTGTCTCTGCCTCTCTTGCTGTGTGTCTCGTCCCACTCACTTCCTGCTTCTTTCCATTTGGTGTTTGTTTGCTTACTTGTTAAGTAGCAGTGCAGGACAGACCAGGGTTTGTGTACATCTTGGTGTCACTAGGATTGAAAGAGATCACATAAAGTGCAAAAAATAGAATTCTGCACGTTAGATTTTTTTTTATTATTATTATTTTTAAATAATAATCATTGTGGTCTTGGGGTTGTTTTACCTCTCTAGCAAAATTCTTTATTACCATTATTATTATTATTATTTAAACAGTCATGAATTAGATCTTGTATCATTCTTTTGGTTTCATTTAATTTTAGATGCTGCTAGTATCCACAATTAACTGTTTTTTTACATACAGATTTTTGTAGCGTGATCATGGAAAATGGTCATTAGGCATAAAAAAAGATGTGTTTATACAGTTTACCATTTTCCGTAAATCTAAGCCAGATTTTTAGGCTGGCAGCATGACATTAAACACTGTGAAAATAAAACCACGTCACTAGTCCAAATTCTGTTTATTTATCAGTCAAGTATTTCATAAAGTTAATCATCTGCAAAACACAAATCAATAAAGAATGCATTTGGTATACAGAACTTGTCTTTCAGCTACCATCCTGTAATGACTGAATTCAGGCTGAATTGCTGAATTCACCATACATTAATTATCTTTTTTATTTTTATTTTTTTTTCCCCAATATTTTTTGATTTGTCAGATACTACAGATGATTTAAAGAAGGTTAGATCCCTTTCATATAAAGTGGATCACTCTGAAATATCCATGTGTTTGCTCTCTGTAGTTACTTTTCCTGGATCCTACTGGAGTAGGAGTTGGAAGTGAAAACTACAAAACTGAAGTGAGAGTGCTTATTGAGGCTTTGTATCTTTATTAGGCAGTAGAGTCTATTTGTGATCAGTAGAAGTAACTTTTTTGGGGGTGACTGAGAGAGTTTTGGCCTCTCTGGGCATCTGTGGACTTGCATCAGGGAGTCCAAGTTACTCCTGGGTGTCTCATGCGGGAGAACTGCACATACGGGTGTAGCAGAGCAACCCTTGTGGGTCAGTCCTGGGAACACTGCCATGGCCTGGGAGCCCATGGGGCCTAAAAGCCCTCATGACACCTGAACGGCCTCCACTTGGGGCTCAGCTGGCCTTCAGGTCCTGCAGGATAGGAAATTTGATAAGTTCCCAGAGGAATTAAACAGAGGGGAATATATAAGATATCGGTGTTTAAGATATGACAGTAACATTTTTTTTCCAGACAGGAAGACCAACATACGAGATCTAAAAGAGGAAAAGCATGGACAAGACAATAACCACTGGCAAATTCAAAGACAGGCCACCCCTCCAGGACAGCAATGGCAGTATGGTTCCTGCTAAGGGTGGGTGCCATAACTGTTCAAAGCTAAAGGTATGATGAGAAGCCCTTTCCACATATTTATTTTTTTTTTAGAATTCTGAAAATGATCATCTGAAGATCTATCAAAATTCAGTTGAGTGTGGTACTGTTTTACACTACATGTGTTGGAAACAGTGCTCTAGGGTGTTATTCCAAGCACGCAGAAGTCAATAAATGTGTTCAGCAATTAAAAGATGAGGCTGTGTTTTACTAGTGAATCGATTAAATATTTGTTATAAGCATAGTGATAGTTCCTTAAGCATGTATATCTTTTCATCCATGTCTTTCAGAATAAGAGAAGTAGTAAGAGTAATGAACACATTCCATAGTCATACAATCAATAACAAACAACTATGCTGCAAGTTTTTCCTAAGGAAGAAAACAGTAGTATGTGGTAGAAAGGTAAAAGGTACACACAGTCCATGTCAACATTTGTTTTCATTGTACTGGAAGAGGCTTTGGAGGCAGTCCTAAAAGTAAAAGTAAAATCTTCCGTTTTAATAAAAGCAATGGAAGGAACCACTCCACAAAGAATTAGAAAACAAAGCATTGATTTTTCTGTTGCCGAGGCATTCAGCCATGAAGAAAAATTTATTGCTTTGCAAACTCAATTATTTTCTCTCTTCAGATATTTCTTGGAGCTCTAGCTTTTTCCTTTTTTGCCAAAGGACTTTCTGGAAGCTACATGAAGAGCATGTCCAGTCAAATTGAAAGGAGATTTGAAATCTCATCATCAATTGTTGGTATTATTGATGGCAGCTTTGAGTTAGGTATGCATACTCTTTATGAAAATGGAAAAATAACACTTCTAAATATATTCTCATTTTGTAATCTTACTGATTATCTCTCCTGATGACGCAGGTAACTTAATGGTAATGATATTGGTGAGCTACCTTGGACCAAGAGTTCATCGACCAAAAGTAATTGCTGTTGGATGTCTCATTATGTCATTAGGAGCATTTTTGTCAGTGATGCCTCAGTTCCTAATGGGACGGTAAATATGGAGAGTCTTGACATTGTGCATTAATTGAACTTGATCATATGAAGATTGTTTTTAATCATACATATGAATTAAAACCTTGACAATCATGATTTCTTGCAGACAACAAGATGGTTTTAGTAGGTGGATTTTTTTTAGCATTGACTTTTGGGTTTTCTTTCCAAAATAGGACTTCCTTCAATCGGTAAATGAAAGAGGACCCTAAGGTTCTGGCTATGGAGCCTTATCTGTAATTAGGGATAAAGTAGGTTGAATTTTTCTCCAGAGGTAGATTATTTCTATTACTATTATTAATGTTTACCTATTTTCATACTTCAATGAATTCTAGTGAGATCTTGATGGAAGAGGCTTCATTTTCCATGGTAGTTTTTCAGGCTGAGCTCTTTAAAATTACAAACATATTTATCTATCTCCATTAACCTCAGGAGGGTTAAATATCTAAATACACCTTCAGATCTAAGCCATACTGCTTACACAACTGTCAAAAGCATTCATACCTCTCTAATCCTTCAACATCCTTACTGAATAGCAATTGAAAATAAGGCTTCTCTGTCCCTCAAAAAATAAAGTAGTTTACCTTTGCTTGTAATTTATCTGCTCTTTAGCTCCAAGACCAATCTGTTATAAGGAGATCACAGAAAGAATTATATCTGTGGAACACCATACAGAAAGTGGCCACAGTCACTGCTCTGCTTGTGAAATAGCAGGGAACCTACACTGCAGGGGATAGCATGGGCTAGAAGCTGAACTAAGGAAATCTCTGATTTAAACTAAACTCACAGCTGAGTTCTGAAGATTACCTACTCTCTACAACACTCAGAAAAACCCAGTGGCCATGGGTACCTCAATGTCATCCATCAAAATGTTTAAAGTTACCAGTTGATTGTACAGTCAGAGGGAATATCTACTCCCCACTTATCCCAATGTAGCATTAATATACTCAAGCTGGCTTCAATTTACTCAGCTATGATGTAGAAACTGTCTGTTTAAATACAAACTGCCACATGGGTTTTATGGCCTGCATTAATCTCTTTATAGACACAGATTGCTATTAGATCCTGAGCTTGCTATTTTTAAACTAACACAGATATCTCTTATGTTACACATCTGTCACATAGGTAAGAAACTGGGTGCAAGCATAGAAAAACATCAGCACTGTTGTATGTAGACTGATGTGGATATATTCTTCCTCAGTATTCCTTCTTCAGTATAACAAATGATCTCTCAAACTCTGGAATCAGCTTTTTGCCTCCTTAACTTAAGAAACTATTGGGGTTAGAAAGGTCACAGCATTTTAAAAAAGATTCATTTTTCATCTATTTTTTTTTTAATGAAAGTGCTTGAAATGAGTTGTCCGTCTACTCGGCCTTCACATAGCAAGATGCCCATGAACATAAGGCTCATACACACTTCCTGCAGAACAGATTCTTTCATGTGTCAGTTGTATTTTACACAGTTGTTTTCCAGTTATAATTATGAAAGGATAGCTGTTACTGTGGACAACTCTTCTACGAGTGTATCAGCTTGCTCCCCAGCATCCTCTGTTGGCCATCCAGTCTCAGATACTACAGAAACACCTAACACAATGAAAAATTCAGGTAAGCAAAAGCTCTGATGCTGGATACCTCATTTTATACATCCTCTTTTCCCTTCCAGTGCTTGTCCCCACCTCATACACCTTTTTTTTATTACAAATATAAGAGCAAAACATAAGAGCTGGAAACCATGATATATACAAACTCACACCATCATGGCCATGAAAAACATATTTTATGTTATTTTTCTGTTGCAATAACAGAATAATAATTATGTTCACAGAAATGTAAATATTTATGACCTGCAGGATGTGAGAAAACATCAAATTCCTACCTGTGGCTCTTTGTGTTGATGGGGAACCTTTTACGTGGAATTGGGGAAGCACCAGTTATGCCACTGGGGGTTTCATATATTGATGATTTTTCTAAAGAAGAAAACTCTGCATTCTACATAGGTAATATACATATGAGTGATTTTTATGCTTATCATTCTTTTCTCTAACATTTCTATAGCCAAGCAAATACTGACCAAAATAATAATAATAATAATAAAATAAAATCTATCAATCTGCTCTATTCTGGACAGTTCTGTGGTGTATACAGACAAAAAAGCAATGCAGAAAAGATCTCATCTTTATCTTTGAAGGATATTTCTTGAATGCTCCTTTTGCTTTCTTTCAGTTGCTTCTGCTAGAAACTTAGTTATATACTAATTTCTCTGAAGTGAGAAATCATACCTTCCTTAGCTGGCATATCACTTTTAGTACCACAGCTTCAGAGAATAAATTATTCTTAATCATCATTCCACAGATGAGAGAATTATCCTTCATCGCAGTAATGCAAACATGCACTTCAGAAGTTTTTACCTGACTTTTTGAATTTTACAAGCAGCACACTTCCTAATGAAAGCTTTTTATAGTCATTAGTTACCTAAGGAAACAAACAAACAAACAAACAAACAAAAAACACCTTGCCAGGGTGTTGTAACAAATTCCTTCTAATAGGGATTTTGTTTTTGTTTTGATGGAAGATACTTATTGCCCAAGACAGAAAGACATACGCCCATGCTTATTAATTTATTGCCAAATTGATTTAATACCTTGATATCTGACTGGGGGTGCATGAAACTGATCCCTGAAATGAGCTTGGTGAAGTTGAAACAATCATAGAAATGGCAAGACAGTTTCAGGAAGTAATGCTACAGTGCTAGGCCATCGAAGATGGCTTTTGAGAAGAGGTTATCTGCCGGTTGCAGAAATGGAAGTATTGTAAAGAGAACTGACAGATTCAGAAGTTACACTCAGGAATTATCCAAAATACTTGTAATCGCCTCTGAGATTCTGACTAAATTGATTGATTGACTGAAAAGATGAAATTGGTAATTGACAATCATAAAACTAGATTTACCATATAAAGGAACAGAAAAGTAAAAATCATGCTTTTTAGAGCTATCTTACAGAACTTAATAGAGATAATATCTTGGGTATAGAAATCTATGAGACAGAAAATTGATTCTTTTTTCCTTAGGAAATTCAATAGTTTTCAGGTTGAGTTTTACAGAATCGTTTAATTTATGTAGTTCTACCAGGAGGAGGTACCACCAACATGGTCCTGAGCTGGTACAATGTACATTGGTACTCTGCATACAGTCCTGAGAAGCTGTTCTGCATAGGGCACTGCTTAGTATGACTAAAAAGTATAATGATCTGTCTCCACATGCCACTGACTTTCATCAGGAAACAGAAATACTGGGATCATTTTCGTGGAGGCCAGCTGCTCTAACTAAGTGGTTACTTCATAAATACTTTCCCACACCAAACACTTAATTTATTCAGATATTTTACAGTCTTCAGATGTTTCACTTATCTTTAGGTGCTCATAGAATTGCCAATATATGTGTGTATATATATATATATATATATATATATACACACACTTACATATACGTATACATATATCATCATATATGATATATATGAGGATCTGGCCTATAAATATAAGCTTTCAATAACCATTAAAAAAAATAATTTCTGATTTACTCAAACATAAATGATAGTATGGGTAATTAAGGGACAGTATCCACCATATTTATCATGCAAGAGGAAAAATACTCAAAGTTATTTAATGAGACGTACTCCACCTTCATAGTTTTCTCACCAATGCAAGGTTTGAATTAATGAAATTTCATCACTGAATTGAGCACTAGCATATAATCATGTATCTACTAAACCCACAACTTCATTAAAAGCACATCTAAGGCCAACATATGTTGTAAATTTTAAAAACAGTTCAAGGTTCTATGCTATAATTACTCATCAATACAAGGGCTTGGCTAAGCTATATCAATGTGCAGCAGCTGAATAACTGATACGTTTACATGATTTACTGTTTGTTTAGTTTGTTTACTAATTACAAAGGGTATAGACAAAAATATGGTAGGAAAATATCACAGTGAACTTATTTGGCTTTTTCTCATCACAATACAAACAAATTACCTTACTTAAGTTACTTTTGAATTTAAAGGTTATGCAGGAGTGAAGTTAATCTAAAAACTTTATGTATGCAAAATTATTGCACACAAAGTTTCTTAGTTTATCTGATAGCATACAGTACCTTAAAGAAAAAAGCTGCACAACACCTGTCCAGGCCATTGCTACATGTGTGCTGTTTTTTAAAATCTCCCTCTCCCTCTTCCTTTCCCTCTCCCTCTCCTCTTCTCTTCTCAGAGGAGCAGGTGTCCACATCTGCCCAGCATGCTCTTCACTCTTCTGTGTTGCTCCCTTCTGTTGCAGGCCTGGTGAGGTCCTCAGGGATGTTTGGGCCAACCCTGGGCTTCCTGCTTGGATCTTTCTGTGCCAGCCTCTGGGTCGATATTGGCATTGCGGATATCGGTAAGAGTCAGTGCATCAAATGTATGTAGGAACCTAACATGCTAGGAAGCACACTCCCAGTTTACTGCTCCAAAAAGGGGGGCTCTCCAGAGGGTTTTCCTACCCAAAATCTGATGTTATTTCTATTTTAGTATCTGCAGTGCTATAGCGTGACTGTGATAGATTTTGCTTTAAGTCCTCACCCTCACTGCAGAAACATTTTAGGCCTCTTTACATGCTGGCACATGCCCTTTCTGCACCCTTGCTGCGTAACTGAGAACAAGTGAGCAAATTGAAGGCTGTCCCCACATTAGAACAGTGGAAGGCCTTTGCTCGTGTTATTTTTGATGGCAAAAAATATATTCTCCTAAAAAGCGTGCACCAAAGATTCTGATGAAACCTCATTTCCTTGTTCAAATCACACTCATGTCTCTAATCCCAGGGAAAATCTGAGCAACATCAAGGAAAAACTGTTAAGTTTGAGAATGGAAGAAAGAGGAAAGGAGGAAATTGAGAAAGGGAGGTTCTCTTCCAGTGGTGAAGGGGTTTCTTGCTGTCACTTGTCCCCACAGAAAGTGCTGGAAGATTGCAGCACAGAAATTCCACCAACGGTCCAGATGGAGACAATGGCGTGTCTTATGCTTGGCATCCTGGGACTGATTTGACACAGGCTGCATTTCAGTTCTTCATGTGAAATATAAATACCCCTGTTCTGGTGTTTAAATAATGCATGTAAGGACACATATAGACAATTTAATTGCTCTGCATGATATCTAATCTCTTTTCCTGTTTGTTTTATAGATGCCATTAGCATAAATCCCAAGGATACCCGCTGGGTTGGTGCCTGGTGGCTTGGATTGCTTATCTGTGGAGCAGTCAACTTCATTGCTTCATTGCCTTTCTGGTTTCTGCCTTACTCCTTACTGAAAGAAGGAGAAGAGCAAAATCTGAAGACTAGTCATCTGCCTGTTCAAGATCACTGTAAAATAGACCCCTCAGTTCAGCCACAATTGAAGTTCTCTGAGGCAGTAAAAGGTGAAAGATTATTGCCCAAATGTTAGCATGAGAATTCTCTCTCGGGGTCCATTTTGAACTGAGTATGGGTTTGTGCAATCCTCTGCACAATGCAAGTGTTTGTAATGCAAATAATGGACACAAATGCTCTCTCTCATTTGTTATATTATTAACAATATTAATTATTGATGTTATTAATATTAATTGATAAAGGTGTGTTTCAGTCACAGTTTAAAGATGTTTTAAAGCTGTTTTTATATCAGACATCTGGAAAAAGGTCATGTTGTTGCATTGAGCATTTTCTCATTTCAACCCAGTAGCAGTCAAACAGCTATAATCATTAGAGGGAGAAAACATCCCATCCTTCATTAATGAGCAATCCACAGCTGGCGGGTTACTGCTTTCCCATGACCAAAAAATGTGAGGGAAACAAGGGGCTAAGTACTACCTTATCAGCTGAAGATTTCTCACTAAATCCATGGTTCTGATGTATGATCTCCGTGATGCTGAGTTAACCTAGTACAGGCAAAACCAGACCCAACTACACATTGCTGTACTCAGTCCCCAGAGGGTTTATTTGCATGTATGCATGTGTGTGAATTCATTTGGTGGTAGTTCACTTCCCAGAGAAGTGCTCTGATGTGATCTTTTAGGCAAATGTGCCAGCAGCCAGATGGAAAGGTTCTTGCCTTTGGCTGAGCCTTTTTCTGAATACAGAAAACTGTGTACCTGCAATTTCATACATTTTGTGGAGGCTCATGCTTTTAGGCAACAACCTTTTCGCCTGGTATATAATAGGGAGTCTTAATGTTCCTCTAGGGAAGCTATCCTGTACAGGCATTGGTTTTCAGCCTTGCAAGCCACTGGTGAACAGTCCTGTCACATACAAGATAATCTAGAATTTCTGATTCCCAGTCCTGCATCCACCATGCCTTGCTGCGTCATGCAGTAATAATTCTGTAAGTCATGTGCTGACAATGGGGAAAACTCTCACTTGAGCAAACATGCTTTGACAGGCATAGAATTATAACCTTCAAGACAGACACTAATTAAATTAGTCTTATTATCTATAGGATGCCAAAAATACCTCTTCTCTGTGTTTAGCAGGGTGTACAGCATATATATCTCCATTACAGATTTCCTACCAACTTTGAAGAAGCTGTTTGGAAATCCAGTTTTCCTGGTGTATGTGTTCCTCACCATTCTGCAGTACAATTCTCTTGTTGGGTTGATAACCTATGAGACAAAGTTTATGGAACAGCAATTTAATGTATCAGTGGCAAGAGCAATCTTTCTAGTTGGTAGGTACCTGCCTTTACTTTTAAATTCCAATATTAAAAATGAAGTTTTCTTGGCTATTTTGTATCCCTTTTAGGAGGACCTTATTTGAACTTTTATGGTGAGCATAAAGTACATAGAAATTTATTAATTTTCTACTATGTTTTGAAACTGGATGTTAATTTTAGTGCTAATTTTCCTCATCTACCCAGTTTAGTCAGCTAGAGGGTTATTAGAACTGGAAAGATATATATATATATTTTTTTGGCTGAAACCTTTTTAAAAGAATGAGGTTGGGTTTATGCTCTTGGGACCAAAAAATCTACACAAAATGAAACTAAATATCAACTAAAAGAAAAAAAAAAGTATAATTTAGAAAATTTATAATGACACTTCTGATCATCTTTTTCAGAATAAAACCTTTGTATAAATACTCTTCAGTTTTCATTACAAATATAAATATTATATACAATGGGGAACCAAACAGTAAAATTCCAGGTCATTTCATTCAGCTCAAAACTCTTCTTCTATTTTCTGGTTCCCTTACAAATAAGTTCTTTGTAGTGTTCTAAAAAATAAATAAATAAATAAATAAAAATGCAGAAATTATATTAATCTTAAAGTGATGGATTAATATGATCTCATAACATGGCAAGATACCGGGGTATTTGAGGACATTGCAGAACTTACATTTCATTACATGAATCTGAAGGCAATTTTCTTTGCTGTGGGTCAGAGACAAAAGTGGGAAGAACTCTATTTTTCCTGTCTTGTTTTGAATTACATTTTCAAAAAAAAAAAAAGACCAAACAACAAAAAAACACTGAGGAAAAAAATAAACCCTTCACAATAAAACCTTGCAAAAACTCTCTGCTTGGCATCTAAGTATTGGAACTGGAGTTTGTGAAGTGCTGAACCGATTAACTCAGAGCAAGATGGAACCTGATGCAAAACCAGACAGAGATTTCTTTCATGTTCTGCTCTGGGGATTTTTTTGGTAGCTGTCAGGAAGTATAAGGCTTTACTTTAGATGAAGAAATACCCATGAGCTAAGATATTTGTATTATTTACTCCAGTTTCTACCAGGCACCTGTTTAGAATTTCTTACATCAGTATGCATACAAACAACAGTGTAATAAAAGGTAGGAAATTCCACACTGGGCTTTTAAAATTCAAAAGAAAATGAAGAAAAAAGCTAAATTGTTTACAGGTAATAAAAATTCCTAGAACCTCAAAGGATCTGTCCAAAAAAAGGTCAGTATCTGATTTTTTTGGAAACTACCAGTACCTGACACTTATTCTAAAAACGGTCTATCCAAGTGACAACAGTTAACATCTTTCTGTTATTTTTTCTTTACAGGTGTGATACTGTTGCCCATCACAATCCTGGGGATGTTTCTAGGAGGCTATCTGATCAAGAAATTCAAACTTGACATAACTGGAATAACAAAGTTTGCATGCATCTCCTTTATAGTAGCGTATCTATTAAACCTGTTGTACTTTACATGCAGTTGTGAGGTGCTCCAGCTGGCTGGTCTGACAGTGCCCTACTCTGGGTTCGTATTTCCTTTGGTTTGTGTTGGCCGTGTTTTGTTCCATGATTGTTACCTGCCTCATGCAGAACATGGTACACACACTTAGTAGTCTTCCTCTACTCTCATAATCTAATCCGGTTTTACAATCCAAACTAATCTGGACGACAAACCTTCTAACCTAGGAAACGTTTGAATTTGAATTTGGATTATACACGGCCTTACTGTTGATTTACTGTAGCATATTGCTACTCACTCTTGCATAAAATATAAGCATACATGTACAGTCTGTTTGAAAGAATTAATTTTCATTGAAATTGAAGTGTATTAGGTCACCTGCTTTTGTCAGTCAGTGTGATTTCAACTACAGTGGAGCTGCTGTGATTATACATGTATCACTTTATTGCTCCTTTGCAGGTGATACAAGAAAATCCTCTCTGCTTAAACAGAAATGTGAGGATGAAATGATACCTAGTGCTGAGGATATGAAGAATATCCTGATTTTCTTTTTGAAATGTCATTTAAACTGGATGTTTATTTTTCTAAAGTGTTTATTGAATTATATTGTCAGTATACCCTTGAATGCTGGCAGATTTCTAATTAAGATGCAATTTAATTTTTTATAGTCTATTTCAAAACTTTAAAGTTGGTCCCCTGCTACAACACAGGGAGCGGGAGCTAAAAAGAGTGTGGAAAATGGCTTCACCAAAGCCCCCCCCAATATCTTTGCCTCTAGAAGGGATCATCCTCTAGATCAGTAGTTACTGACCTGAACAGGTACTCAGTTTCCATCCTCTCTTGGTACCTGGAGCTGCCAACCTGCCTGTGTCCATCTTTTCAGCTGAGAAGTAGAAAATTGTTATGGCAGGATGGTGTGCTGCCCACAGAAACGTTTCCCCTTCCTCACCAGGATTGTGGCCATGCATCCTGAGAACATTTTGCTGACCCCAGCAGCTTGCCACAATTGACTACTGTTTAAGTTTAGTTCAGTCAGGTCCAACAAATTTCAAGGGATTTAAAAGGATTAAACCAAATCCAGCAGGGCTTGATAGATTTTCAATTCAGACAGAAACTCAGGCCTGTGTTTTTTGAAACTAAGCCTATGTTCAGGGAAATACCTAGGTATCTTGACAAACCTGAAACCTAGGTCAGCTCCAAGGATAGTTACATAAAAGATGTCAGAGGTTTATCCAGTGGAGATAGCTGTGGTTGAGCACATCATCTGATACTGCAGAGTGAGTTAAAGAATAAGTAGAAACATCAAGGCAGTGAATACTGAAAGAGCAATTACAGATTCCCCAGGCGAACTGTTAGTGGAGAATTTATCATGTGACATGATTGTTCTGGTTAGTATGGAGTTACATGCCTCTTTACCAACTTAAAGAACTACACAATTATTTTCCTTTCTAAAGGACTTAAGAGAAATGTGGACCACTTGAGGTATGTTTTGGATTGACAGGAAGGAAGAAAAGGCAAATTTTCAACACTTTGAATAGGGAATCATTTCAAAGCAGGGGTTATTTGTGGACAGTGGTCTCCTAACACTTTCTGAAAATTGAGCTCTGCTACCATGCCCTTAGAACTTCTGGCCACTTTTTACATTCTCAGTTCTAGTTGTCATCCACTTAGTTTAGCTCCTTGGAGCCTGAATTTGGTGTTTCTCACAGAAATGTTAATAAAGGTGGAAGACACAGAGGTCCATGATATGCTACTGCAAGAAATTATATCTGATAAGAAACTGTGTTCAAGCCTGATTCAGGTGCAGGGCTGTTGCTGAACACAAACAGAGCTGATGTGGAAGCAGCACTTCCCACTCAGACCTATGCAACTTTCATTGCCACTACCCAGCTCTGACTAAGTGAACAACTATCAAGGATATCTTGCTGCTATATTTTTATGTAGTTTTGTTTTGTCACTTCTAGCATGGTATGATCTCTACTGCTAGGGGAAATCAAGGCCAGTCTACATGGTTTAGTGGGTGACATGGATAGTAGGGTGATGGTTGGACCAGATGATCTTTTCCAACCCTAATGATTCTATGACACAAGTGATAAGAGATTTTAGATATGATTTTGTTATCCTTGGGAAGAACTTTCAAACGAAAAAGTAATATCAAATATTCACTTCCAGTCAAAAAATACCTAGTTTTCAAGTTCCATACCCTTTCAGCAACAATCCAGAAAAATGCTATTGGATGATGAAAAATATCAAGAGAACTTTGGTTTAGCTTAAATTAACTTTGCCTCCATACAACAACTTCACAGTTATCTAGATGGTAGCAGATATCTGTCCTTGTTGATTGCTTCACTTTCTACTCACTTTTCCTGCTTGCTCCCTGATGTTTTCTTAGAATATTTAATTCTACTAAATAATTATTTTATTTCTTTCTGTTTTCATCCAGATTGAAACAACTTTCCTCCCCCAAAAACAGCTTCATGGCCAGTTGCAATGCTGATTGCAGCTGTGAGGTGGATCAGTGGGATCCTGTATGTGGGGACAATGGGATCACTTACATGACGGCCTGTTTTGCGGGATGTAAATCATCAACCGGGACAGGAAAGAATATGGTAAATATATAGACAAATTATTACACCGATAACTAGATTTCTCAATCCATTATTTTTTGACTTTGTGATTAAGAAATCCTGTAGAAACAGTTGTCCATTCTGTACTGTTTAACCTTGTAGTAGAAACTGAGTGTGTGTAAGGTTGCAGGTTGGGTATTTAAAAGAATTGTGGTGAGGTAAGTGAGCTACTCAGAGAAGACATGAAACATCAGACTCTTGACTTACATTTCTTGAATGCTTTTAATTTTATTTCATTTAATATATATGTATATATATATTCTCAGCAAGATGACCATAATTTTGTCTTTAAGTTTCTCAGTAGATCTCTTACTGTGTAGATACAACACAGCTAAGAGGGGAATGCTTTAGACCAGACTTTTACTGCTCTGGTCACTACACCAGCTAAGTCCTCTAGTGTCAACTCATTTGAGGCAGACCTGCATAAAATTGTGCTTGCTGGTTTCACAAACTGTTATAAACCATGTTGGAATTTCCTGCTTTCCTGACATGTTGTAGCTCAGGAAAGAAGGCAATAACTCTAAATTGTACAATCAAGAGACCTATTTTTACATTTGGCTATTTTGTTCAGTGCATCACCATCAAAGAGATTTCCAGCACTCCTAAAAATCCTGCTTTGGGAAGACCAACAGAAACAGTAGGTTTGCAGAAGTCTCAAGGTACCCAGCCAGACATTTGAAATCCAGACTTTTGCAAGCGATGGGATTATCCTTTTCCAATTCTTAGATAAATTGCTTTTAAGTAAGGTACCATCATTTTAATTTCAGTCAATAGGCCATAGCCACATGATCATCCTCAAGAGCATAGCAGACCCAGGGATCTATTAGAGGAACATTTTGTATGAGCATTATTTAGTCCACCCTAGGCCAAACTTGCTGGTTTGGCTCAGATCAAGAGTACAGAGCAGTTTGTTGTGCTTGATGTAGACAGGCCCCATTGGGACTGCTTGTTGGAGGCATAAAAAGCATCTGGGACTAGATTACTACTACTATCCCAGCTGGGTTTGGATATGGTAGGGCCAAAGCCTTAGAAAATGGTTTGCCCTTAAGCAGACTACAATGGAAAGACGTGGCATGTATGTATATTAATGTAAGTACCAATTAAATTGCCACTGTATGGACAGGTATCTGCTTCATTTAGAGTTTTGCTGCCCTTATAATTGCTTTTTACTACTTTTTGGCTGCAGTTTATGACTCTAAAAGCTGATCAGTGTTATCAGATCATGTGAAAGGTCCTGGCCTGCTCCAGTGAACAGCTGACTAGGTTAGCCTTGGCCCTTGCTGAAGATGAATGCTTACTATATCCAGGTAGCTGAACTAAAAGTCTCCTTTTGCTACACCAGCAAACTTGAAGTTTTACATTGGAAGAAAAATACATAGAAACCAACCTCAGGTATGAAATTTATGGACAGAAACAATATCTAAACAAATATTTAATTTATAACAGAATCCTAGTCTGAGCCTAGGTGCCAAATGGCAGTAAATTAATCATGCTGTATCTGCTAAAAAGCAGCCCTTAAGCGAGGGCTTAAAGCAGTGAAAAAAAGAAGAAAATTGTCATATTACTTGTGTGCAAATGATCATGTCTTCTGCCAGAAGCAGAATTGCCCTAACTTAACAACACTGAAATAGACAGGCAACATTTTCAGGTTCGTATTCAGAGCCATATCCTTTTGCTTCATTCACTTCAGGGGAATTGGCTATCTAACCCATGCCTCCTGCTAACTTAAAAAACATGCAACAGCCCACACTCAATCCAGCATCAAATGCTGTTTTGGATACATAACGATATAGATCATAGAATCATAGAATGGCTCACATTGGAAGGGAGGTTAAAGACCTCCAACCTCCCTGCCATGGGCAGGGACACCTCCCACTAAATCAGCTTGCCCAAAGCCCCATCCAGCCTGCCTTGAACACTACCAGGGATGGGACATCTACAGCTTCTCTGGGCAACCTGTACCAGTGCCTCATCACACTGAGTGAAGAATTTCTTTCTTGTATCTAATCTAAATCTACCCTCCTTTAGTTTAAAGCCATTGCCCCTTGTCCTGTCGCTACATTCCCTGAGAGTCCCTCTCCTGCTTTCCTGTAGGCCCCCTTTAGGCACTGGAAGGCCTCTATAAGGTCTCCCCAGAGTCTTCTCTTCTCCGGGCTGAACAAACCCAAAACTCTCAGCATATCTTCATAGGAGAGGTGTTCCAGCCCTCTGATCAGCCTTATGGACTCACTCCAACATCTCCATGTCCTTCTTGTGCTGGGGGACCCAGAGCTGAAAGCTGTACTCCAGGTGGGGACTCATGAGAGTGGAGTAAAGGGGGAGAACAGACATCCATGACTGCTTTATTGGGTCTGTATCTATATAATTTTAATTTTACTTATATGCTTCATTGGATCCCTGAGCAGAATGGCTGGATAGCAATTCACACCTGAATTTTATAGCTTTCACCCATCTTTAGCTTACATAGCATGCCTTCAGTCCTAGCAACGGCATGGATGAAATTAGAATCACAGTTGCTTTGTGTCTTTGGAGCAGTGTGGCATAGCTGCAGCATACCAATGAACTTGGCCATCAGTCTGCAGAGATGATTAGGGGGGTCCTTTAAGCATATCCTTTAAGCATAAACAACAGTCTGCCTGTTATGGAGAAATATAGATACTAAAATAGTTTTGAGTCATTAAATTCTGATTAAATGTTTTTTTCCCCATCTTCTCCTTTCAGGTGTTTCACAATTGCAGCTGTGTGGAAGCACAAGGACATGGACTTGGCAATTCTGCAGTTTTGGGACAATGCCAAAGAGAGAGCTGTACCAAAGCATTTCCCTATTTTTTAGCATTACAGACTGCATGTGCATTTATTTTAGCCTTAGGAGGCACTCCTACATACATGATTATGTTTAGGTGAAATACTTTACCTTACCTTGACCATAAAGCTTGGGGAAAGAGAAACAGAATATAGTATCTACCATTTGATTTGTATTGTGAGGAATGGTATGCTGACTAAACTGGGGCTGTGTGTCTTTAGCTGTTCTCTGAAACCTATCACTTAATTCCAATTTAAGGTAGAATAGATACTTTGGTGATGGAGTGGGTAAGCCTTACATTGACTGCAAACAGTACATTTCACTTCCAATGACAGGGATGTGTTTAATAGAGCAACGAAATTGAAATAAGTGTGATGCTAAGCCATGTCCAAGGTGACTATACTGTTCACATTACTCAAGAGAAAAACATTCACCTTTGTTAAGCTTTGTTGCCTCAGAATGTTTCATGTGTTGTGAGAAGCCTTCCATTTTATTTCAAGCTGGTACAAACAGAACTATTTCAGCAGCAATCATTTTTATTTTTATTCCTTCAATTGTAAAGCAGCGTTGCTATTTTACTCTCAGAAAAAAAAAAAAAAGAAAAAAAAAAAAGAAAAAAAGAAAAAAAACCCACAATGTTCTCTGCCTTTCGTATGAAAGTTTCTTTCTAGTCATAATCATGGGTGAATAGCAATCATCAGTACTCAGTGCACATGATTAATTGACTCTTTGTCCTAAGCTGCTGATTATTCTGCAGTATTTCTTGTTGTAGACATTCTTACTCCTTACCTGGATTATGAACAAGGGTAACTTTGCTGGGGAAGTTTCCACAATACTGTGTGTAGCGAGAAGCCATTAATGTTAATGTTGAAAAGATGATCTACTGATGCAGTGTAAGCCCCAGCTGGGGAAATAGGCTGGCCATAGCAAGCCCCATACCTGCTCCTATGCCAGCTTGGTACTACTCCCTGCTGCTTTTTGTAAATTGTTCTAGTTCATCTGATGGACACAGGCTCTGTCTCCACTGGTAGGAATGAGGTGCTTTTACAGCCAGGTGACTCAAGTTTGCTTGTCCTGTAAAATGCTAGAAACAGAGATGGATTTTATTTGTATGTAGCTAGCAAGGACTGCACCTTCACCACTGAGTGGTACAGCCCCTTTTCTAAAGCAAAGACTGCCTCCTGGAGCTTAATTTCTGAACATAAACTATCTACTTATAATTGGTTCGCTTCAATTTTCCTGTGCATCCTCTCCCCAAAACCTTTGCAATTTGCTCTCCTTTGGTTCAAGAGAGGTTTCTGCAAATACTCCCATCTATTTCAATGGGAGTTCATCCACTGAAATCAACATGAGGTTCAACACATAATCTGTAACTTTGGTGAATGTTTTTAACTACTGTTGAATAAGATGCACTAGGTTAGCCACATTACTCTTGCAGTGGAGCATGTGCAGATATTCACAGCATGGCCATCATTGTAGCTATTTTATTCTACTGCTCCCCAAAAAATCAAAACAATGTATTATTTTTTGTCTCCTTTTTAGATCTGTTTCTCCAGACCTGAAATCCTTTGCTGTTGGGATTGAAACTTTAGGTGGTAGAGTACTAGGTAAACTTCATTTCCTTGTATCACTCAAGTAGGCAGTAAGATAGACCCAAGTTAGCTGTTCCAAATGAGAACAAAAGAAAATTTTGAAGAATATTATTTGTAAGCAGAAAATGCATTTCAAAATATTTGGAGGAGCTTGCTACGTGTTTTTTGGTATGTAATTACATAGTATGATTATCTCTCCAGATTTTTTTTTCTATGCAGTGAAGGAATCAGTCAGGGAAAGGACAGTGCATTATACATTCTTCCTTCCTTCCTTCCTTCCTTCCTTCCTTCCTTCCTTCCTTCCTTCCTTCCTTCCTTCCTTCCTTCCTTCCTTCCTTCCTTCCTTCCTTCCTTCCTTCCTTCCTTCCTTCCTTCCTTCCTTCCTTCCTTCCTTCCTTCCTTCCTTCCTTCCTTCCTTCCTTCTCTTCCTCCCTCCCTCCCTCCTTTTTGGACACATCTACCTGAGCATGATTAATCCAGATATCCTTAACACCTATGCTCCCTTTGGTTGACCATTTTTCATTTACAGCTATCATGTACTCTATTATTTTCTTTGCTGTGTTTAGTTACAATAAATAAACCTCGCAACTTTCAGTGACGTAGTCTGCCATGCGTCTAGCAAACCTTGCCTTATCTTCACTTTCCTCATGACTTTTGAAACCTTCCCCATGCAGACAAACCCAAGTAGTCACTTGTATCTCTCTCCTAATATCACATTTTTGCTGAATGCTGCAGAGGATCAATCTTATGATTTTACAAAAAAGTTTTCATAAGAAATTCAAGTTATACATGAAAGCTTGCTGATTATATTAAAGCATTATAACTGTATAAAATGATTCTTTCAGTAATACATAAGTAACACAGTTAATAACATAATAACGTACTTGGTTATGATCATGGGCTTAATTTGAGCCCTTTGCACTAAGCTAGTTATTTTTAACTAGCAAACTGCTGCATAATACCTGAATAGATACATTAGTGTACGTAGATATTCACGTATTGTGACATGTAATTCCATACCAAGGACTAAAAATTAGATTGTATTATTTCTTTAAACAACAGCAGTTATAATTGTAATAAAAATATCATTAAAATGGAACTACTAACATTTCCCACACCCATATAATCTTCCATCTGTTCAACCTACCCTTTAGGTATTTGCTTAAACAATTTCACAGGTCTTATGATGTCAAAGTCGGTGCAGGATTTTTAGTCCCATTTTATGCAGCCATAATTCAGAAACCCTGAGTTTAATTTCCTCATTTCTTTGCTATGACATTGAACTCTACGATCTGCCATGTGTGAGATCATGTAATAAGATTTTCTTTGCAGGAGGACTTCCAGCTCCTATTTACTTTGGTGCCTTGATAGATGAGACCTGCTTGAAATGGGGGACAAAAAGCTGCGGGGGATCTGGGTCCTGCCGAGTGTATGACACAAAAGCATTCAGGTAAGGTAAAATCTTCAGTAAGGGACTGGGAATTTGGCTTTTGAGGCAGCTTTGACCAGCAAAGACCAAAGTATATTTTGCACGTATGAATTGTCAATAAACAGATTAGGATCCTAAAGCACCATAACTCTATATTTTGACTAATCCTTAATAAATCAAATAAGCCACGTACTTTTGACCAAATGTAACACATGGCATTGCTGTGCACTCCCTTACATCACCAGTATTAGTTCCCTTAATGGACCATTAGTTCACTGCATAATTCTGCAACACTTTGGCTTTGTGGGAGACCAAATGACTGTAGCGTAAGCGTAATACCGAGAATGCTCTTCCTCATTCCTCATTTATCTGTTTCCTAATGTATAAAACACCTCACAAAATCCACCTGAAGAGGCAACACAAACAGCTGCTGGTGCACTAAATGCAGAACTGCATGCTTCCCTTTAGGGGCTGGAGGAAGGCTGGGACAGCCTGCACTATTCCTCATGTCCCTACACTAGAATGTAACCATCTGCTGAATGGGAGAACTCTTCAGAGAGCAAACATCTCTGCTAGGAGTATAGACCAGATTAGGGACTGCCTGGGGCTGAAAATCATGTTGGTTTTTTTTTTGTTTTTTTTTTTTTTTTTTTTATTCCCCAAAATGTGGAAAGAGACATGGCTGAGAATAAATGGTTTTGCCTAAATGTGTTTGGTATCACTCAGAAGTGGCAAGTACTAATAACATAAATGTATTTTGTTGTTTTTTTTTTAAGAAATGTCTATCTCGGTCTCATTGCTGGATTACGGGCAGGATGCTCTCTCTTATACATAGTGCTCTTTGTTTTAATAATGAGACGCTTCAAACCAGATGACAAGGAGATGACAGATATTAAAAATGCAGAAAGACCAACCAGCAAAGAACCAGCTACGGTGAACAAAAAAGAAATTCTTCCTGGTGCACAAACTTCAGAGGAGAGTGAAGAAACTTATATGTGAAAAACAAACAAGACCTCTCCCCAACTCTGCCTATGTTTCAGTTTTTCTAAGCACAACGGAGTCTGATTACTGACTTCAACAGCTGGTTTACATTTGGAGGTTCAAAAAATATCCTTGAAACTTTGGCCTTTAAGCTGATTTATTTTATTCTCGTATTGTCCTCATCTGAAACAATAGAGTGAAAATATTTTCAAAATCTGGGGGAACTCTCCAACTTTGCACTCTCGCTCTCTTCTAGATTGCCTGTAGGACTGACCAAAATTTTTCCAGTATAATAAATTTGATTATAATTGAAAAATTAAAAAGAAGAAATCTTCAATAATCTTTTTTTTTTTTTTTTTTTTTTTTTTTTTTTTTTTTTAACCATCTGTATTTTAAGTCCTCTTGTTCTGCATTTAGTCCTATGACTCTACATGGCTAATCAAGTTACACCTGACCAGTTGTTCTGATGGCCTTTGCTGTGCATTTCATGGTTAGTGTTCCTTGTTACAGACTTGGTTCAATAGCCCATGCTCAGGTGAGAGCCCCAGGGCTGTCAGTGAGCATCTGAACAAGAACTGCAGGGTCTGGCTTGAACACATTAAACAATCAAAATGGATTGCAAGCAAAAGAAAGTAGTACATTAATTTTGCAGTACGTTTCAGTGTTGAGTTAAACTTACTCTGAACTGATGCAATAAATGGATATGTGTTAAAGTTAAGTTTTTTGATTTGTTTGTGTGTGTGTGTGTGTGTGTGTATGTTTGCATGTAAGGGTATTTTTATTTTTTTTATGGCCACTGCATTTACGCCACATGTATGTAGATTTCCTTCCATGTTCCGTGGAACTGCCAGCTAGCCTTGAAATAAAGTGCTGAAAGCTTGCAAATTCACAGCTTTCCATGGACAGACTAGTCTAGAGAGAAATTTTAATAAAGGATGCTTCCAACGGTGATTACTGTAAGAAACAGTGTGTAAAAATACTTAGTATGTGATATTTCATTAGAAGTCCTCATGGCGTAGCTTCACAATGGGAGCAAATATGCCTTGATAAGAACACTGTAGTTTGTGTCTCCATCCTCACAGCCACTTTGGTTTCTTTTCTAAAGGGTGTATCTCTGCTCCCTGAAGTCCTGTGTACAACCTTAAAACTAGGAAACAAGCTTCCTTTCCTAATCTTCAGTTTTCTTGGGACATGGAAGGAAGCACTGCACAAATATAAAGAAACTCTACCCATGCCTTATTTGAGAAAACAACAGAGCAGAGGACTGAAGAAAGGGACTCTACAGATGAAATGTTCTTCTCAACTTCGAATTTCTACCACCAGCTCCATTTAAGTGAATGCATGGGAATGGGGGAAGGGTTGATGTGGTGCTCAATGAAAGCGAGTTCTTCAGATCCTAGCTTTGGGGTTGAAGTTGTATGCATTTTATTGCTAAAGACAACAGCCAGCATATTCAGACATTGTCTATTTTATTATCAGAACTCTGATTACAAACTGCCAGCAGAAATGAGGAAGGAGAGTCTGTTATAACAGAGCAGAAATTAAAACTTCTCTAGTATAGACGATACCAACACCGTGTCTAGGCCTGGAAATAAATAAAGAAAAATCTAAGTTCCAGAAACCACTGGAAATTTTCCGAAGAGGAAATAACAATGTATCTCCTTCTGCAAAAAATGTTTTAACATTGAACAAATATATTGGCAGTTCTAGAAGTACTCTTGATCTGTGCTAGGCATATAGATTCAGTCAGGTGACTCATGCTAACATCATCTCCCTTTTAATTCTGTTGTCTGGGTATTTATTTCTGTACACTGTTTTTATATTAAGGTGTTTTTTTTTGTTTTTGTTTTTATGAAAGCATCTTTTGCACCTATTGTTTGATTTTCCCAGGAGGAAATGTTTTAGCAAGAGTGCGTTGATAACTGATGTCAGACTAGAAATGAGATTCTGGTCAGATCCAGTGATTCATGTCCAGATATTTATACCAGCTGCAGCTTGATGTGATTTTTTCAGATAAGACAACATCATTTCTCATAACAAATCAATAATAGTATAAACACTACCGTTTGTAGTATTAATTGATCCTCTGGCTCAGTATACACCCAACTCTCAGTCAATAGCACTTGCCAACCTTTCCAACATGCATTGTTTATGTGCCACTGTGTCACTTTATTGTGAAGAACAGGTAGAAGTTTCTTCAGGGAAAGGTTTGTTCTTCAACATGCAATTGGCCTCTGTCATGCCAAGCAATGATCTGGTCCTTCATTTTTGCTGAATTTCTCTTTTGATTTTCACCATTTTTCTTATTTTTTTATGCCTACTCACATCAGCATGTCTTCTCTTAAATCCCTGACCCCTCTAGCTATCATTGGGTCAGGAGTTACAATTCTCATTGTGTTTTCCCATCTCTTACATTTTTATTTCACAGTCAGCTGAAGCCTGGGGCTCAGGGTTTCAAATCACTGGCTTAGACATCAAATGGCATCTTCAAAAAACTAACACACTGGGAAAGCTCAAGAGAGGGTGAATGTTGACCATTTTTTTGTCTGTGACACAGTAAAAACACTTAACACAAAGTATAGGAACAGTCCCATTAAATTGAGCAGAAATTACTCCAGTCCTGCACGTGGAAGCTATAGCCATGAAGACCAGTTCCTCTCCTCATTGTAATGCTCAGCTCAACTCCCCTGCTATATGTCACGGTCTTGAGTTGAATGTTTCCTAGAAGTCATATTAAGAATTAAACACCTGAAATGTACTTATGGAAAACTCCAAAGTGAGGGACTTCACTGACTATTCTGTAGGAAAAGCCAAGAAAGAGGCAAGGCTGAAACTTGTCTTCTGAGGTCAAGCCTTTATTGTCTGCCAGGTGCTTAACTCACTTTGAACAGACCAACAATATCTGAAGGAAATGTTGAAGATATGGCTGTGGATGCACGCTCAAAGCTGTCACTGATCTGGGTGGATGTGCCTCTGTGTGGCCCGGTACACTCATCTCTTCATTGCTGAGTGCCCTCAAGCTTGGTCAGATGTGATTTCATGCCATGTAAGTCTCTTAATAAATTACTTTGTTAAAGACTGATTGATGGCTGCACAAGTTACCTTTCTTGCTGACAAACTCTCCCTGATGTTCTCCAAGAAGAAAGAGGAACCATTGTTCCTCTTGGCAAAATAAATTGTTAAACAAGAAAGCTATGCTGGAGGCATTTAAATTTACAGCTACACCCAATCAGGCATGCTTTTGAGTAAATACCACAAATCAGGTAGTTTAGCGTCAATTATAGGCAGCTGCGTGGGTGACTAATCATGGTAGTTTTGCTGAAATCAATGAAGAAATAACAGAACCAGTAATTTTTTATGACTGGAATGTTTAAGGGCATGAGCTTTGCGTTTACCCAACTCTTGTTTGAGTTGACTGTAAAGCCCTTCACAGAATTGTCTAGGTTGGAAGAGACCTCCAAGATCACCTATTCCAACCTCTGACCTAACACTAACAAGTCCTCCACTAAACCATATTACTAAGCTCAACATCTAAACGTCTTTTAAAGACCTCCAGGTATGGTGACCCAACCACTTCCCTGGGCAGCGCATTCCAATGCCTAACAACCCTTTCAGTAAAGAAGTTTTTCCTACTATCCAACCTAAACCTCCCTTGGCGGAACTTTAGCCCGTTCCCCCTTGTCCTGTCACCAGGCACATGGAAGAATAGACCAACCTCCACCTCTCTACAGCCTCCTTTAAGGTACCTGTAGAGAGCAATAAGGTCGCCCCTGAGCCTCCTTTTCTCCAGGCTGAACAACCCCAGCTCCCTCAGCTGCTCCTCATAAGACTTTTTCTCCAGACCCCTCACCAGCTTCGTTGTCCTTCTCTGGACCCGCTTGAGCACCTCCATGTCTTTCTTGTAGCGAGGGGCCCAAAACTGAACACAGTACTCGAGGTGCGGCCTCACCAGAGCCGAGTACAGGGGGACGATCACTTCCCTAGACCTGCTGGCCACACTGTTTCTTATGCAAGCCAGGATGCTGTTGGCCTTCTTGGCCACCTGAGCACACTGCTGGCTCATATTCAGCCGACTATCAACCAATACTCCCAGGTCCTTCTCTGTCAGGCAGCTCTCCAACCACTCATCTCCCAGCCTGTAGCTCTGCTTGGGGTTGTTGTGCCCCAGGTGCAGGACCCGCTGGGGCCGGTGGGGGAGGGAGGGGGGGCATTGCCTGCGATATCAAGCAGGGACCTGCCTGCATTCCTCAACTCCTAGGTCCCTTCCTTCTGCCCAGCAGCAGCAGGGCCAAGGGTCCACCCCCATTTGGGGTGTCTTACCCCCTTACCTCTCCTTGAGGCCCTGCAGGGAGTTGCTCCACCAGTCTATCTCCTGCTCACACTCCCTGATGGCCCTCAACCTCTCCACCTCCTCCTTGAGCCCTGCCACCAGGCAGACCAGGCCATCCACCTGCTCACACCCCCCCAACACACACGGTGTCTCTGCCGCCCTCAGAGGGCAGCAACAGGCTCAGGCGCTCCCTGCATCCAGAGACCTGAACTGCCACACTGTGGAGCAGGCAGTCAGTCTGGGTGGTTACAGACTTTCTATAGACACAGCTCTGCCTGGTGTAGACCACTGCGGCCTAGCTAGCAGTAGACAGCCGTTAGAGGAGTTGTTCTCATTGTCGGGGGGAACGCTCTGCCCTGCCCGCGCAAACTGCCGCGCCCCGCCCTGTTTGCCCGCCCTGGTGGCCGCGCTCCCCAGGGGCTGCCTTTGAACGCCAGGGTAGAGGGGGCGCTGCTGGCTCCGCCTGCGCCTCATCAGCCTCCTCCGCGAGGGCTGCGGGGCCTTGGCGGCTCCCTTGGCTGCCGGGCCTTGGCGGCTCCCTTGGCTGCCTCAAGTGGACTCGATGCCGGAAAAAAAGCCCTGCCTGTCCCGATCCCCCGCTCCATGGCAGAACGCGTCTGCCCCGGAGCCGATCGCCTCGGCAAGAGACGATAATGCCTTTGATAATGCCTTTATTGGCATTATCCAAGTCCTTCTGTCAGAATAGCTGTGTAAGGTAGCGCCTTATCCCAGAAGACAGTGCAGTTTATATTTGGCATTTCCTTAGTTTTAGTTGTATAATCAACCAGACATAATAACCTATGACTAC